CACTACGTGGGGTCGGCTACATGAATCCTTTTTCTCCATTGTGTCCTATTAAAAGTCAAATTCTCGTTTAAATCTAATAAAGAAAGGTCATTCCTAATATTTTCTAACCAAGTCTTTTCTTGTGTTTGAACACATGTAATAGCTCCTGCATACATATCTTTAATGATTTGAATATAAGCATTATTGACTCCTTTCTTTTTAAGAACTCTCCATAGCACTTCTCTTGGAACTTTATCATATGCTTTTTCTAAATCAATAAATATCATATGTAGATCCTCCTTATTTTCTCTATATTTCTCCATCAAACCTCTTAATAAATGTATGGCTTCCATAGTCGACCTACCCGGCATGAATCCAAATTGATTTTGAGAAACATTAGTATCACGCCGCAACCTATGCTCCATAACTCGCTCCCATAGTTTTAAAGTATGACACATTAACTTAATACCTCTATAATTCGCACAATCTTGTACATCACCTTTATTCTTAAAAATAGGAATTAACACACTCATTCTCCACTCATCTGGCATCTTCTTAGTCTTCAAAATAGTATTAAAAAGTTTAGTAAGCCATGAAATTCCTTCATCTCCTAAGCATTTCCACACCTCTATTGGGATATCATCAGGTCCAACAGCTTTTCCACCCTTCATTTTCTTTAAAGCATCTCTAACTTCAGTTTTACTAATACGCCGATAAAAATAGAAATCTTTATTTTCATTTAGGGTGCTAAGGTCACTACAGTCAATTTTTTTTTCACAATCTTTATTAAAAAGTTTAGCAAAATATCTCATCCATCTTTGTTGAATATCATCTTCTAAGAAAAGTATTTTTTGATCTTCATCTTTAATACACTTCACTTGAACTAAATCCTTACTACTCCTATCTCTTTGTTTGGCTAACTTATACATATATCTTTCTCCCTCTTTAGTATCTAATCTATTATATAAATCACTAAAAGCTAATGCCTTTGCATCGCATATTGCTTTCTTAGCATCCTTACGAGCCACTTTATATATTTCCCAATTATCAGAATTTTTAAAATTAAACCAGTTTTTATAACAAAGCTTCTTATTTTTAAGAACTACCTATTCCCTTATAGTCATAAAATCCGGCTTCTTGGTGATTCCTTCCAACGATAAATACAACTTCTTCTAACACAAAATCTTCAATTTGCATCATCCAAAATATGTTTGAATAATTGAACTTTTCAATATTGTACATTGCTTCGTCCACCATTACTACCACTCGATCTGAAGAACTTTGTTCTAATACCAGTTGTTGGAGAAGATAAGGAGAAAACACCACAATGACAAAACAAGAAAGAAAGTAAAAGCAATAGAAAAGTAAAAGACATTAGGATTTAATGTAGAAAATTCAAAATAGGGAAAAAAACCACGGAGCCACATCACACCAAGAAGTTCATTATGAAAATTGAGAGAAATAAGTAAAGATCTCTCTTCTTGCTTCTCTTCTCACACACACTGTTCTCGATGTCTACATACTCAAAATATAAGATAAAGGCAAGTAAAATAATCCTAGGGACACAACCTTTCAGAAAAACGAGAAAGAAAACTATCTAGTTCGTCTCGCAGCGCTATAACGCTCAAGCCTCTGTATTTCACCGCTGCAACGTCGTATCTATATTGTTGCAGCGCTCTGCTCTTTGTTATTTAGCGCTGGGACGCTCGGGTACGCAACATTGGGGTGTTGTACAACATTTTTTTTTTTGGTGCAAAGCCCCCAAACCCAATCAAGGGGTAAACCCCTCGCACACTCCAATGAACACAACAAGCTTTGAGGTCCGAGACAATAAAACAACCAGATTTCTTAACACAATCAGATTCCACACATACATATATGAACTATAGAGAGCAATAAAAATAGAGAATATGTAATGGGTATGATGTTCCTTCCCAACTATTATATACTGCAGTTGTGATGTAACACATTTTTATTTTAATGTGAAGATTTGTACTCATAACTCTTTCATTGATCAAGATGATTAAGGGCAAGCTTGGAATTGCCTAATTCTATCTTTCATTTTGAATTTTACCCTGACATTGGTTTTCCCATTAAGTTTTCCATTTTTGTCAACGCCATAGTTCAAAATCCAAAACTAAGATCAATGACAGCCTAAACATCTCATAAGAACAACTTATCGCCACTAGTGATGTCCTACAATAAATCAACCTTTGTCTAACCTCCATATGGACGAACCTATGCGGGAATGGTATCCTTGAATGTTAAAAATGAAACGGCTAACAATGTTGGAAGGATTTGTCACTGCTCTTGCTATGTGAATTGGACCATCAAAGTACCTTGATTTGCAGTTAGAAATAGCCAAACGAATCCAAACAACAACAGTTATGAATATCAATTATAATCTAACAACTCTCCAATCAAAAAAATTGATCTCATTGAATATTTTCTTACAAATTCTTTTGAATCTGACTTGAAAACATATATAGATCCACAAAAAGGTCTGCATTCGACAACCAAAATCCGTCGACCAAGTTGTAGAAGTAGCTAAATTTTTTGGGGACAGTTAGGTCAATTAAGGCAGACTCACGCACACATTGCATACACAATACTCGAACCCAAGACCTCTTAGTTGATGGCCTAAGCTCTCAACCAACAGACCAAGATGAGCTGTATGAAGTAGCTAAACTTATCAAGAAATTCCAAACTATTAGTCATGAATCTTACTTATCCAAGCACTTCCTCCTCCTTTGTTACCTACCCCTTACTCTGGAAACTGGAATCAACTGACCATATCTACCCAGCAACAGTGTCAGAGAGAACAATTTTAGTCTCAACCACATTTTGCAAAAAGGAAAAATGTTTTCTTTTGATTCTACTGGAGGAGAGCTCAGTCCTGTCGCAACCACATATCTACCCATCCCTTTGCGTGGCAAATTCATACTGGAATGAAAAATTATTTAAACGGACAACATGAATATTAAATAAATAGCAAATTTTTAATTATTATATGAATGTCAAAATATTTAATTAGGCACCAAAAACAGTTGTGATTTGTGCGTGGAGCCCAGCTTAGATGTTGACTGTTGACTGCCATTTGTCTGTTTCGTATTAAAAAATGCAGTAAGGGCCAAGGTTGGGTTGTTCAGTAGTTCGCTTCCCTCACCAACTGTACCTCATTTCACCTACAGTCGCATCTGCTTTCAAAAAACAATGGCAGATATGGAGATGAAGGTAGCGCTTATGAGGAAAATTGTAGAACAGAAGGATTCGGATGCAAAGGTGTTTGCTTTATTAACCAGCAGTTTTGTTTAGCTTCATTTTGTTGTTTAAATCTTTCTCTCTTTAAGATTTTTTCCTTCAGTTTACTTTATAGGGTAGTTGTTAATGTTTTCTTTTGCTTCTTTTTGCTTGTGTGCTTCTCTGCATGCTTATTGTATTTATTGTTTTTTTGGTTTTGTTTCTCTGAAAATGTTTGTTGAATTAGCGTTTTTTGCTTTGCTTTCTGTTTAGATGAAATGCTTTCTCCAGTAAATCTGTTTAAAATGTATTCGACTGGAGTTTTGAAATCTGCAGGATTCATCTTTTTGATTAAAGTTGTCTTTTTTACAATGAATTTTCTTATTAGAAATTGCTCTTTGTCTTCTCCTTGCGACTGGTACAAGCTCATCTTAATCTTTGGGTAATATCATGACCTTTGTCTCAATAGTATAAGATTGGCCCAAATCAAATCTGATCAATCACAAATTGACCAGTTACGACCATCAAGCAGATCTCTGATCAAAGTTCTTGATAAATTCATTCACACCAAGTATATAGTTTCACTACCCAAACTCTATTCACTGGATATATGAAAACCAACAAACTCCATCAGGTATACTAATATTACCTATATTATGTTAGGTATATGGAGACTGTATGCATAAGTCCATCAAATACAAAAAAATTACCCAATTCTCTTGACAGTAAATGAAGACCATCTCTCTTAGGTAGACAAGATTATCCAACTCACTCGGATATATAGAGATTATCAAACTCCCTCAAGTACCTAAAGGCTATCCAGCTTCACAAAAATGAGAAATTATTCTGTGCGGACGCCGAATACCGTCCAGAGACCGACCAGAACGCACCACGTCATCCTTTTGCTTGGTATTGCAGCTCAGTACCGTTGACATGGCGCATTCTGGTTGGTCTCCAGACGCGTTCTGCGTCCGGTCTCCGCACAAAATAATTTCACCACAAAAACTACCTCACTTCAATAAAAACTCTTACGCAAAAGTATGATCATATCACCCAAAGAGGCATGATGAGAACTCTTAGGCTTCGTTTCGGACTACTTTCTTACCACTTTTTAAAACAATTTTTTAGTACAAAAAAGTGTGCGGTGACAAAGAATAATGTTTCATTTGTGACGGCTTTTTACTGCTTCTTAAAACTTCTAAGGCCGCATCTGATATTCTTGTGAAATGCATACCACACAATCAAAAGATCTCCAGCATTGACATTAGGCTCATTAATGAGTAAACCCGTCAAGACATCCAACATTAAAGATGAAGTCCCCATTAGAAATTTCTACCATAGAGACATTAGCATAAATGACAACCCCAAGTACATAATTACTGAAGTATCAGCTGAAGTTCCAATCATAGAGGCATCAGACACCTAGCAAACTCCTCCCTGTTGAGATTTTGATCGCAAAAGTATTATACTGAGGCTATGTATCAGACTACAGCCTCGAAATTTAGAAATACTTATAAATTTTTATATATCTTTATATATAAATTCTATCTTCCACTAAAATATAATAAATAATATGTCAACACACAACGTGAATATTAAATAAATATTACATTTTTAATGAATATATGTATACCATAATATTTAATATCTAAGCGTGGAGCCCAGTTTGGACGCGGTGGAGTACAAGAGGTCTTCTTCCTATTAAACAAAGCAATAAAAACAGAGGCTGGGTTGTTCAAAACTTCACCTCCCTCACCGACTATTTTCCATTTAATCTACAGTACCCTCTGCTTTCCAAAATCAATGGCTGATGTGGAGAAGAAGGTGGAGCTCATGAGGAGAATTGTAGAGCAGAAGGATTCAGATTCAAAGGTTTTTTCTTTCTTTTCGAGCAGTTTTGTTTCATTTTGTTTTCTGGTTGCAAAATTTCCTATCTTTTTACCTTGATTGGTCAGCTGTTAATGGTTTCTTTAGCTTTTCTTTGCCTGTTCTGCTTTTCTGCGTGCTTAATGCATCTAGCGCTTTTTTATTTGTTTGTCTGTAGATGTTTGAAGGATTGCTGTTTTATGTGTAGTTGGCTTTGTTCTTTCTTGTTTTTTCTGGTTTGTTTGATGATGTGAAGAATAAAATGGATTTTTTTTTTTTTTGAGTTTTTATGACTCTCGTTACTAGCTAGTAAACAGATGGAACGGAGCAAAGATCTGAATGGGTGAAGATGGGACCTCATTATGCATTGTTTTACAAAGCTAGATTTGATATGTTTTTGTTTCCCAGGCTTTCTTTAGGACAACTTTCTTATTGCTTTAATATAAAAAAATTTGAAGGAGAAAATTTTACACTAAAAAATTGCGTTATAAAGCATTAAATAATCTAAGATTTTTTTACTATTTTTTGTGGTAGATAAAACACCCCCCCCCCCAAAAAAAAAAAAAAAAAATGATGTGTGGATGAAGGGTTCTATAAAAATGATTATAGAACTGTTGTGATGAATTTTTTTTTTTGGATAATATAAATTTTTTCTTCTGCAAAAATAAAAAAATATTTATTCTTAAATTTTTATATTTTCATAATTTTTTTAATTGTGAAAAAGTTACTCTAAAATTACCTAAATTTTTTTTTCCTCAGAATTTGCTCAAGGCTTTGTTTGGAACATCTTGTTTTAAAACAGCTTTCTAGTAAAAAAAATTATTTTAAAATACTATTTTAAGAAGCAGTAAGAAAGTGATCTAAGCAAAGTCTAAAAAAAATTATTTTTGTAAAAGTAATTTTCAGAAAATTCTGATAGCAAAAATAGAAAAATATAAGCCTAAGGAGAGAAATTGTTCATGATTTATGCGACTTTCTCCTTTTGTTGGGATTTGTTGACAATGGCATTTCATTAACTTGCATGACTTTGACTTGTGTGGCTGCTAAATTTTCATCTTTCCAAGTCTATATTTAATGCTTTTCGTCAATTAGGATGACGAATTCTACTTTGTTAATCATTCCACTTGGTGTCTTTGGCCTGACTATTCTGTAGCTGATTCACTTGGAAGCTTATTCCCATTTGTTCACCCCAAGCAGTCAATTTATTCATTTTTTTTCCTTACTACAACGTGTTTGTGTACTCATTTACATTAATATCTTACCAATATCTGTACTTTTTTTGCTTACCATAAAAAAAAGATTTTTTTTTAGTGCTCGCCAAGTTGGGTCGAAGTTGACTTGCTAACGAGCTCGTGAGCTCGAGTTTGAGCTTAAATTGAAGATCATATATTATATGAGCTCGAGCTCGAGTTTGGCCATCTCGACTCGTCAGTTTCTCAAGCCGGCTCAACAACATCAAGCCTTTTGTCCCACTACGTGGTCGGCTACATGAATCCTTTCCTGTTAAAAATCAAATTCTTGTTTAATCTAATAAAGAAAGATTATTTCTAATATTATCTAACCAAGACTTTTTAGATCTACTTCTATCTTTCTTAACATAAGTTAAATTTAATACCTCTACTTTCAAGTTGGCTTGATTAATATTAATTAGCACATTGGTATTTAAATTAGCTTAATTAATTATTTTTTTGTCCAAACTCAAACTAAGAAATCCAGCTCCATAGTGAGTCAACTCGAGCCGAGCTTGATTAAGCAAGAATTTGACTCGACTCGGCTCTTTACATCCTTAATTTTGTCCATTTTGACATGAATTCCCCTATAAAATTTTTACATACAGCACGGATATCAAAGTAAATTAAATTATTTTGAATTTTACCTTGATATAATTTATATTAAAGTATTTTCATTTTTTTTAATGAAATTGATATTTTAATTGTTTTTGGTGCTTGATAACATTATTATAATTATTTTTTTATTACAATTTTAATTTTAGCAGTGTCAATATTTGATGCCACCCGGAAAGCCGATTCGAAACCGACACAAAATTTTCGGATTCGGGTCGACCCGTTTAAAGAACGGGTTGGGTTAGGATTTGAATTTTTGAACCGTTTAGATTTTCGGATCGGGTTCGGATCAACTTGTTGATATATATTAAAGCATTTCATAAAGCTTATTTAGTTATTTGTATGTTGCAGGATTTGGATGATTCAACTCTCAAAAGATTTCTGCGTGCTCGAGATCTGGACGTTGACAGGGCTTCAAATTTCCTGCTGAAACATCTTAGTTGGAGAAGGGAAAACATCCCAAAAGGTTTTATATCAGAATCAGAAATACAGAATGAGATTGCTCAAAAGAAGATATTTAGTCAAGGATTTGATAAGAATGGCCGTCCTATTGCTGTTCTCTTTGGTTGCAGACACAACCCTTCCAACAGGGATTTGAATGAGTTTAAGCGTAAGTTTTATTATTATTATTAAATCACATCTCACTTTTTCCTATTAAATGGTTCTTTATTATTGATCTTTAAATTTCTCTTTTTTTTTTTAATAATTTTATTATAATAATTGCTTATATTATAATCATTTTATCTCTTTACTTATAAATGAACCGGCCCGAACTTATAGAATTAAGTTCTAGCTCGATTAGTTAAATCAAGCTCAAGTTATAGGTGATTCGAGCTTGGATTGACTCGTTTACACCCCTGCTTGTACTTGTGCCTATCTGGGCTTTTTATTATATGCGGATACCAGACGGAGAGAACCGTCTGGATTTCTCTCTGTTTACAATAAAAGCGCAGTTGCTACAGTAGCAGCTGTGCTTTAACTGTAGACAAAGAGAAAACCGGACGGTTCTCTCCCGCCGGGTGTCCGCACACAATAATCTCTCGCCTATGTGAGCACTAGGCTTCATAAAATCTGGTGATTGTAACTTCCAGCTGAAATGTGTAATATGTGATTCCAAATCCTGGCAGGTTTTGCTGCATATATCCTTGAGAAGTTGTGCTCCAGGTACTTGTCTGCATCAATTTTTTTAATCCTAGTTCAAGAATCCATCCTCTATGTTTTTAACTTCACCATTTTGCAGAATGCAAGGGAAAGAGGAGAAATTTACAATCATTGCAGATCTCAAGGGTTGGGGGTATTCGAATTGTGACATACGGGCATACATCGCAGCATTAGATATTTTACAGGTTTGTTTCTTTGGGAATTAATTTAAGTTTCGTTTGGGATAGCTTTTTTATTGCATTTAAAACGGCTTTCTAGAACAAAAAATTCTAATTCAATAAATTTTTGTATTAAAAAATTGTTTTAGAAAACGGAAAAGCTGTCCCAAACGAAGCCTTAATATAGAAAAAATTGTTCATATTTATGAGGTTACCGATATGTTTCAAGAAGATAAATTATGGTTTCGTTTGGGATGGCTTTATTATTACTTTTTATAGCAGTTTTTTAGTAAAAAAGTTGCTTTAAGAAGCAATAAGAAAATTTTACTTTGTGCTTTTCAAAAACCGGCTTCTAATCATCGCATCTCAATTGTCACCTTTCTATTTTACATGGAAAATTTCAAAATCAAATTGCTTAAATTTTATAAATCCCATTGTCTCATATGGGCAGAATAACTATCCGGAGAGACTTGGAAAACTTCTTCTTCTTCATGTTCCATACTTGTTTATGAAGGCATGGAAGATAATCTGCCCATTCATTGATAAGAACACCAAATCTAAGGTAACTCTGATGTCCACTTCTTTACCAGAACGATGGCTTTGTTTGGGACTGTTTTTTTATTGCTTCTTAAAGCATCTTTTTAGTTAAAAAATTAAAATTTTTGTACTAAAAAGTTGCTTTAAGAAGCAGAAAGAAAACCATCCCAAATGAAATCGAAATTTAGCAGATGGAAAGCTGTAGTCACATGGAATCTTGACAAATTTATGAAGAGTAAAGCTGTTAAAAAGCTGCAAAAAATGGATTTTTTACGAACCTTATAAGGATCAAATGGTTTATGATAATTGCACAGATAATCTTTGTTGAAGACAAGAACAAGATGACTACCCTGCTGGAAGACATTGATGAGAGTCAACTCCCAGAACAGTATGGTGGAAGGCTAAAGCTGGTACCAATAGAGGAGTCCTAAGTCCTACACTATGGTGGAAGGTTAAGGCTTCGTTTGGAACGATTTTTTAACCGTTTCTTAAAGCAGATTTCTAGTATAAAATTTTTAATTTTTTACTAGAAAGTCGTTTTAAGAAGCAGTAAAAAAGCCGTGCCAAATAAAGCCTAAGACCGGTACCTATAGAGGTGTTCTAAGTCCCACAATAAGAGAATGCTCTCCAATTGTATTCATTAAGAGGCTTGGTACTTGTCAACCATAGTTGTAATTTCATTGGAAAGACTCTTTGTAATAACACTTCGAATCTATGTGAGGCTTTCTTAAATTACAATAGTGTGTTCATTAGCAGAAGCTCTACTGAAAGAATGTTATTTAGGTTTCATTTAGGACGGCTTTCTTACTGCTTTTTAAAGCAGTTATTTAGTGCAAAAAATAAAACTTTTGTTCGAAAAAGCTGCTTTAAGAATAGTAAGAAAGTTGTCACAAACAAAACCTTAATGTTTTATGATTATTTGCAGAGGGGAGCGTACACACATTGAAAGACATTGAAGATCACAGGAATAGGTACATTAAGAAATCTGCAATTTCGTATACTCACCAAAAAAAAAAAAAAAAACAAAGTACGAAGGATATATAAGAGAGTAGTGGTTTCAAAATTGGGTTATGGGTCGAACCTGGAATTGACCTGGCACTATTCAGGTCAATCCGAACCCGACCCATTTTTGTAAACGGGACAATTTTTCTTATCCGAACTTGATCCATTTCGGATTCGGGTCAACCCGAACTGACCCGTAAGACTGTTGCCGGCCTTTCGTTCACGAGCTTATTCTCTTATGGTGCGTCGGTGCAACAATGGGACCGGCCATACAAATGCAGCGGCAGCCGCAGCTGCCCGGAAACGGCCATGCGGCGAGGTAGCGACATGCGGCAAAGGAAGCAACGCGAGACAACAGTCGATGCGCGGCACGGGGGCAAGCAAAGCTGGCATCCGGGCAGGCAATGGGGGCAACGCGGGCAAGCGACCTATTCCGAATCATTCCGGGTCATTCCCGATTTTGAGTCAACCTGAACCCAACTCTTTCAAGGTTGAAAGGGGCTGGCCCCTTGCGAATTCTACAAGAAATGTCATGGTGGTGGGAGCCATGGCAAGGGCAAGCCAACCACCATAGTCACCAGCAATTGATAAAGGAGTACAGCCCATATGAGTGCCAACACCAACAAAAACAAAAACAAACCATTCAGATTCAGGTCCTCAGGGTCTTTAAGGATGAAGGGGCAAATAAGGAAACACATACAAATCGTCCTCCGGTGATCCTGTCGGAACAAAATAGGCGAGAAGCTGTCCCTAATGGAGTTTATACAAATATCAAATAAATAAATGCTTGTTAATAATTTAAATATTAAATAATATTATAAATTTTAAATATTATTTATTTTAAATATTATTTAATTAATTCAAAAAAATTATACAAATATTAAATAAATAAATTTATCATTAGAAGTAATTGTAAGAATAATTATATCATCAATCTAGAACAAATGCCTTCAAGGTTTTAATAAAATAGAAATAAAATTTTAAATATATGTGACATCAAATTTATCGTAATTGAAAAATAATTGGACAAGAGGTTTAAAGAGAATAAAAATGTAAGCATAAAAACTTAATTATTGTGTAATTAACTATTTTTTTTTTCTAATATATTGCACACATAATCTTAATTGATGGTCATATTTAAACTATTTGATGATGAGATTGTTCGACATTGTTGCGTCCTGGAATATTCGCGGCGGTAGAGAAATATATAGTTTAACGTCTTAGCGTTGTACGAAGAATTAATTTTAATATTATCACACTTTCAAAATAAAAGGATATTTTTGTAAATTCGCAGTTCCACCGGGATCAGAGATCCCCAGCCCCACTCTCCACAGACCCTCCCCAATTTCTGCCCCCACAAATCCGCCGGACGGACTCGGGACAGAAAATCCCAGAAGAGGGAAAAATTTCAAACTCGCCGTCTTCTCCTCAAAAATCCCGCCTCTCCCCTCTGTATCTCTCGCGCGCGTCCCATCCTCTCCGATAGCTGAAGCTTTGATTAGCGATGGCTTCCGATCTCCCCTGCGATGCGGACGGAGTGTGCATGGTTTGCAAGGCGAAGCCAACGGAGGCTGAAGCTGTGCTCTGCCGTACATGCGTCACTCCTTGGCACGTCACTTGCCTGTCCCGCCCGCCAGAGAATCTCGCTTCTGCTCTCGAATGGCAGTGCCCTGACTGCTTTCAGTCGCCGGAATCGGTGGCGGCGACGGCGGCGCCGGCGCTGGTGGGCGCATCAGCTGAGCTGGTGGCTGCTATCAGGGCGATCGAGGCCGACGGTTCGCTTACGGAGCAGGAAAAAGCGCGACGCCGCCAGGCCCTTGTGAGCGGCGGCGTCGCTGGGTTGGCGGCGGCCGAGGAGGTTGAGGAGGATGATAAGGGCAGGAAGAAAGCGAAACGGAGCAATGATGTTTTGGATCTTCTTGATGGAAGCATTTACTGCTCCTTTTGTATGCAGCTGCCGGAGAGACCGGTCACCGTGAGTTCTTCTCGTGTTTACATTTATTAGGCTCGCCACTTCATTTTCCATTTCTCTTGATATTTTATATAGAGCTTCTGCCCTGTTGTCATTCGTTGAGGTCTGGGTGCCGTTATTCTAATGTATTTCTTGCTAGCTTTAGATCATCGTTGAATAATATTTGTATGAGTGGAGCAAATGCTGTTTGCGGATGTCTGTTGTCTGCATTTGAAGCCGATTAATAATAAAATTCTATTTACATAGAATAACTCCATTATTATTATGTATTTTTAGTTGGAAATCTCCAAGGCTGCATGTGTTTTTTGGTTTTACTTGCTTTCCTTCTCCATGAAAATTGTTTGGCGTGCTTAATAGTATATATGGGTTGATAATTTTGCTAACGTATTCTTCCGTTTCTTACATGTATTTTAAATTCTAGAAATACATAATAGTGGGAAATAAAATACCCTAAAATTGTTCTTTCGTTACATTGTATTTGAAGCTTCCAAAATATACAATATATGGTGCCAGTTGTTATATCTGTATCTCTTTTTGGTAATGGAAAACAATGCAGCGAATGAATTTTTTTTTTTTTTTTGGGGACATTTAGGCCATTTAAGGCAAACTCACACACACAACGCATACACATAGACTCAAACCCTGGACCTCTTAGTTGGAAGGCTAAGCTCTCAACCAATAGGCCAAGAAGAGTTGTGTAAGCGAATGAAATTATTTAGGATATCCGGATACAATTTTATGTTAGGATGGAAACTGGAAAGCCGTGCTCAAATATAGATGACAAATGATCAAAAGAAGAGGACAGGTTTACATAAATAGAAAACAACATCAGAAATGCTTGCACACCCCATATTTTTGAACAAATATAATTTTCTGAGCATATATCTTCTAACTTTTGGTATATGTCTTTTAAATGCACCGTTGCTTTTTTTAAAAAAAATTTACTTGTATATGTCTTCTACAATTACCATGAAGTTGCAAACTCCCAGCCGCCAATCCCCTTGGGATGGTTGCTTTGATTTTAGTTGTTTTAAAACAATTATCATTAAAAAAAACCAATCCTACCATCCAAAATGGATTGGATGGCTAGAATTGTGTTACTTTATCTTTCAGTTACGATGAGAATTGGATTTTTTCTGATGGGCCTTTTAATTTTACACAACATTTTCATTCAAACAATTTGCTTTTCTATGTCTACTCACTGGCTCGTAATGTACTTACAAAGATAAAAAAAAAAAAATAGCATTTAGCGAGATGCTAAAAATTTGGCTGATGGAAACTTCATAATTTTATTGCTTATTGTTGTTTACCTCATTTAAGTAGCACTCAATGCTGCTTGTATTCTCTTTGTACGAGTATTCATTTTCGTTCATCTTTTGTGTATGAGGGCGTTATGAGTTTTAAGTATTTCTTTCTCAAGTTTTGAGAATCTTCAGTCCTTTTTTCTAGCTATCTTCATCACCACTTATTTCATCCATCTTACATTTAGCTTTGTGTAAGAATGTAATCAAGTAGAATGAAAACATAAATTCTCCATGATTTGAGATGTGAGGAAGTGTGATACGACTTTGGAAGACATTTATCAATATTTTTTTTTTGTTTTTTTTTGTGGACATTTGAACCTTATTTTGTTGTTGAAGTAGATTAGATATGCTTGGGAGAATTTCGCTACATCGAGAGTAATTCTGCATTATAGATTTTTGTTCTCTTTGTCCTATAACTTATTTTTTCATGATTTGTTGCCATGTTGGTTGTTTTCATGCCAATTACTGGTGTCATATATGTCTTTTGAGGGCAGATTTGATGATAGATTTTCTTAGATTTTTAATATTTTCTCCTAAAAGAATAGGTTAGTTTCTCAATAATGTTTATGGATGCATATTGTGTATATTATTGTAGCTTTTTCTTGGTATTATACTGGAAAATTTCTTTGCTACATTCTTCAAAAAATACATGATGCGGGTATCATATGCCCTCAATGTCACGACTATGACTTTGCCTTTCATTTTCTCATGTCAAAAGATTTTATTATTGGACTTTTTTTCCTACAATTCAACCTTAATGTGCAATAATTATTGTTGGACTTAATGTTCATTCCTTGTGGCAAAATATTGTCCTATTGATGGCTATTGTTTGGCCATCATTATACATTTGATCATATCTTCATAAATGATGTCTGTTAAAATACGCCCTCTTTATGTCTTTTAAAATATTCATTGATCTCCATTTTTTGTGTTTTATCTTTCTTCATTTATGTGTTACTAATTAAATGCGATCCTGTATAATTAAGTGAGGAATTTCTCTTCTAGATTTATTTATCTTATCTAAACATGCTATTGTTGATTGTTCAAAGCTTAAAAACTAATGATTTCTTTAACTTAGAGTACAAATGCTATACTTTTTTGCTTTGAATTTCAGAAAATGGGTCTCAACTTTCAAGTTGCTGCATGAACTTCCCAATCATGATACTGAAGCTATAATAATGAGATTTGATATAGTTTTACATTGGGAGCTATTTCAAATAGGGGAATGTTAGTCCCAAGATAGATGCGTTTTTATTTGCAGCTTTTTGGAATTGCGATGACATTCATGAAGGATTGGGAGTATTGATTACCCTATTTCTTGTTTATAAAACATCAGGGCTTATTGAATTTTTTGATTTTAGTCAAAATAAGATTTCTTTCATTGGTTTCATTCACTCTCTTACTAATTGTAGTATAAGTAGATAGAACATTGTCATAACATGGCTATAGCTTAGTATTTTTTGTTAATGTTGACCTAAGTACCTTGTATATTGCAAAAATCCTGCTCAAATCCCATAGTTTCATACCTATTAGGTGCAGACGCTGCTCTTCGCCCGATTCTTGCTCAAATCCCGCCCGAGGCCCGCTCTCGTTGTTAAAAACGAGAGGAACAACGAGCTCAAGTTCTTCTTCTCGCTCATTCCTCACACATGAAATTTTTCGTTTGAACCAACCTCACGAACCCGTCACCTACTTCCTCCGACTCTTCTAACAGCAAATCGACTTCCAAGCTCCGCCTTTTCCTATTTGGAGGAGTTGAGGGATCAAATTGGTCCCTCAGAAGAGTTGGGGACCATTTTGGTCATTTTCTCTTCAGCAATTACTTGTTAGTTTACCGCCACACCACATTTAGTGGAACAATATTGGTGCCATTTGCTTATTAGCATTGCACAGAATTTGGGGCTAGATTTTTTTAGTTGAAGTCTTCTAAATTTTTTGTTTTCCTCATCTATTGGCCTAACTGTTTATGTTTTTTTTATGCTAAGTTTAAGTGTGAATATTAAACCATTTTGTTGTTTCCATTTCTTCCTTTTCCCCCTTCTCTTTTTTCTTTTAACAGACACCATGTGGCCACAACTTCTGCTTAAAATGCTTTCAAAAGTGGGTTGGGCAGGGGAAACTTCACTGTGCAAATTGTCGGTCTTTTATCCCTTCAAAGTTTGCAGCACAGCCCAGAATAAATTCAACACTAGCTATGGGCATTCGTATGGCCAAATCTGCAAAATCAGGCACATCAATTGGCACAGTTCATGAATACCATTTCATTCGTAATGAGAACAGACCTGATAAAGCATTCACTACTGAAAGGGCTAAGAGGGCAGGAAAGTCAAATGCTTGCAGTGGACAGATCTTTGTCACAACTCCTCCAGATCATTTTGGTCCCATTACTGCAGAGTATGATCCAAAAATGAGAAGGGGTGTGTTGGTGGGTGATACCTGGGATGATCGGATGGACTGTAGACAATGGGGTGCACATCTACCTCATGTCGCAGGAATTGCAGGGCAAAGTGAGTATGGTGCACAGTCAGTTGCTCTCTCAGGAGGATATCAAGATGACGAAGATCATGGGGAGTGGTTCTTGTACACGGGCAGGTTTGATCATCTTGGTTAAGCTTGAGCTTTCAATCTTCTAACCCTGGCTAATTGGGTTTACATGGTTTTTCTTAATGTCTATGCATTCTAGGAATTGTTACCAGAATGTATTGACGTTAACTGTCTTTATAATCATCTACGCTAACTCCAGAATTTACCACATACGTTCAATCTTTTTGCTTTTAATTGAAAGGTAATTGTTTGTCATGTTCGATGTTTTGAGGTCCAGGTATTTAATTAGGTTAAGACACAATACTGTGTTAGTATATTTGAATGAACATGGACATAGCATGCTGGAACTATCACTAGCACTGCTATTTGATTCGTTAGTCCGTTACTGTGATAAGAATGCTTCTTTATGCACCAAGACGTATTAAGCCTATTTGTTCTACTTCATGTTAAATGACCACCATTGTGGTTCTTATTTATTTTCACTCATGCTTATAATCATGCAACTTCTTTATTTTTGCAGTATTATTTCCCATTAAGATATTAATACTCTTTTTATTCTCTTATTTTTAATCGGATTTTGCATAGTGGGGGTAGAGACCTGAGTGGTAACAAGCGCACAAACAAGCAGCAGTCATTTGATCAAAAATTTGAGAAATTTAATGAGGCGTTGCGTGTCAGTTGTCTAAAGGGCTATCCAGTGCGGGTAGTAAGGTATGCTATGAAGTTCTTAATGCCATTTTCTTCCCCCACCCACCTACTGAGTTTGGCTTCCTTCTCTGTCACTTATTGAGCTTGCTTTGTAGCTTGTGATTCAATGGTAGCACAGAATAACTCTTTTGTTTCTTATATTTTGTTTTTAGTATATAAGTTTGGGTAGCTAACTTTTTCTATGGCTGCAGTTTGCTCGAGAATTGATTATTAGTCTACAATGTTTACAGAAGCATTTATAGTTTGCCAGGATCTATTAAAAATTCGGTAGTTCTCACTCAAAAAATGAGATGTTAACAATTTACGGTAGTGGCAAGCAGCATGATCATCTATTTTAGATGCTTCATTTTATTTTGGCAGCAATCTTGTTGTATACTCGATCAATATTTTCCATGTGAGCTTTGCTTCACTGTTAATGTATATGATTATGATATAAACGCTTATATTTTAATTTTGAATAGCTTATATTCACCTAGGCTAATTGATTAGTGCTATCACACCTACAAAAATCACCTGCCAAATGCTCGTCATTTTTAACTAATTTTGACCCCTTTATCTTGTAAGCATTACTTCTATTGTTCTATTTTTAAAATTATTTCTTACTGATTAAAATTATATGCTCTATAAAAAGTATATTCCAAGATAAATATTCAATGCAAAAGATGCAATTTTAATGTTGATTTTTGATGTAAACCTATCATTATTTAGAACTATTTGGTCACTCTAATTATTTCTTTACTAGTTGATACTCTTTGATCTATATCTGTAATGAGTAATGACTTTAACATACCTTCAATGCATTTTTATCGTTAATATGAACCAAATCAATTTCATGATACTTGATTTTGATTTATGAATTATATAGACTAATAAAAATCATATGAAAATCCTTTCTTTGTTTCTGTTTTTTCATTAAATTCCTTAACACAAAAAATATGTCCATGATGGATCTTATGACATATAACAAAATTCATTCTATGATTCCACCATAATTTTCTTGTAGGTGCACCAATTTTTTGCAGCATTGCAGTCTATAAAAAATTGTCAAAAAGTTGTTCGACTTACTTTAATGCTGGTGGGACAGGTTTTTTCATGGTAATTGATTAATATTTTAGTTGCTAGTTGATTAAATAAGTTGTACCGTTTCAGCAGTTTTTTGGGTTCTAGCCACCAATTCTGTGAGGTTCAGATGCTTTTCAAGCTCTAACAATTCTTCTAAAATAAAATTGATGATAATACATAATATAAATTGGTTTAGTAAACCAGATTGTATGGTGTTATGCGGTGATGAACATAGGTAAGCTTGCATACAGAGTCTCTTTAAACAGCTTATGATTCCATGTACCTCTTTGTACTCTTTTCAGCTTTTTAATTAATGCAGTATGCAAGCTTCAAGGTTATGATTCCATGAGGAAACATGCATACAGAGTATCTTTTTTTTTCCTCTGTTCTAATTTATAGTTTTAGAAAATTGGTTCTGGCAAAACCGTTCAGTAAAAAAGGTGAGAACTTTTTCAGTAGAAATTTTTTGTCGATATCCAGCCAAAAATTGGTTATTATGAGGTTTTATAAATTTGAATTTACTTTTAAAATGAGTGTAATACACGAATAATCAATTAATTATTGTTGTGTATTAATCTCAAAGCAATATTCCAGAAGTTTAAAATTAATAATGACCATAATTTGTTCAGGATCCCTCCAATTTTTTTCTGCATTTCACCATCACTCAAAAAATGTTCTTATTACCAGTCTAATTTAAGAAACTGCAAACATTCATGGATAATTAAAATCATGATTTGTGCGTTACCTCTATCCATCTTTGATTGTGCATGAGCATTATTGTTTGTAGGTCTCCAAAAAAAAAAAAAACTGCTAGTATTTATATTCTTACTTAACAAAGTATGAATTGAGTTTTAGACTTTGGAGCGCAAGCTTTAAATTATAACTTTTTTCAATGAGCAGGTCCCATAAAGAGAAGCGCTCTTCGTATGCTCCTGAAAATGGGGTCCGTTATGATGGAGTTTATAGAATCGAGAAATGCTGGAGAAAAGTTGGTCTTCAGGTACTTAACCATCCATCAAATAGGGATTATATCCTGAATTTAATTGATAAATTCTTTTTTTTTATACGTGCAGGGTTTCAAGGTCTGCAGATACTTATTTGTTAGGTGTGATAATGAGCCAGCACCTTGGACAAGGTATTTTCCCCAGCCTTTTGCTGCCACTTTTAAATTTATTCTGCTCGCTGGTTCCTATTCTAACGATCTTTAATATTTACTTGAATATCTACAATAACAGTGATGAGCATGGTGACCGACCAAGGCCGTTACCTGTTATCAAAGAACTGAAGAAAGCCACTGATATTACTGATAGGATTGATACTCCCTCTTGGGACTATACTGTAAGGATATCCTTTTCTTTCCATTCTGCTCCAGAATGACATCATGTTTGTTTTGTTTGATAATTGTCCAAATCGTCAGAATGGCCTCATTTCAACATAATTGTTGTGATTTTAAGCTGATTTCCCTGTTATTGTAAGTTGGATAAAATGTATCTGTAAATTTTATATCAAACCAGCTCACTGAATCATTTCTTTTTTAGTTATTGACTCGGAATTCCTTATGAAGAAATTCATCATCATTACCATATTCTTAGTTGTCACAGCGGTATGATTAACTTAAATTGGTGTTGACTTGTAGGCAAGTTCTCATTATTATTAGTGTTGGAAGTAGGCAAAACCTGTTCCGCATACAGAGCAAAAAATAGGAACAGAGGATCTGCTAGCAAAAATACAGAATTTTTGTGAGTTCATTCAATTGATGGCTGTCGGTTTTTTGCTGTTGCAAAATTTCCTATCATTCGACTGTGGAGAAAAAAAAACTCTAATTCCTCTGTTAGGCCAATTCAATATGAACTGGCCCAACCATCCCAAGGGCCGGTTTAAGTTTATAGGAGGCGGATTAATGCCACCACCTTGAAAGTGCTCTGATGGCACTAGAAAGTTCGTTAGGGATATTAAGCCCTATAGAACTGGCCCAAGGCTAACAAAGAGATAGGTGAATTGAATAACTTTAAAACCAAAGATAAAACTCAAACCAATATCACCACAATAAAAACCAAAGTGCGGAAATTAAATGCGGAAGCGATAATAAGAAAAGAACACACCAGATTTATAGTGGTTCGGTCAAACTTTGACCTACGTCCACTCCTTGGAGGCATCCTCCAAGTATTGCACTAAAATAAGTGTCTCTCCTTTAGCCCCCACAGCTAGGCGGAGAAGCCCTTACAAAATCACTTTCACCTTCCCCGGTGCGGCGGAGTCGCCGGGTCCTTTGACACCAAAGAGATCTTCTTCTTTGGTGAACTTACCTCGAGACAAGCCTTGAATCCGATGGTACTAAGGTGCGAGTTCGCCGGAGTAACCGTGTGGATCCCCCACCACACTCCCTTGAGTTCCTCCCCTTCACAGGATCTTCTCCCTCTCAAACTTCACCCTTTTCTCTCTCCCTTTCAAGCTCTCTCTTCAAGTTTCCCCCCACAAAAACGAAGCTACAATGGCTGTCAGAGATCCTTACAAAAGTTGCCATGCCATACTTAAATAAAAGCTCTCAAAACGAGCTCATTAATGCAAGTTGCCGACATTATCGTCCAGGATGATAGGCATATCGTCCTGGCCGATTAGTTCAAATTCAGCTCAACGGCCTGGGACAATTTGGGACGATCAGAAGAAAATTGGTTATATCGTCCTGGCCGATCTCACGATCGTCCCAGCCGATTAGTTTAAAACCGAATTTAATCGTCTCGATCATCGCCCTGATTTGGTGTTGGCCAAAGTCAATCGTCCAGGCCATCGTCCTGGCCGATCATAAGATCGTCCTGGACGATATGATCGTATCAATCAGCCATTAATGATTTCCAAATAATACCAGATCAATTTAGGTATGATTGAGTTAGATCGTCCTGGACGATATAAATACCGTCCTGGTCGATTTCCTAAAATAAAGAATGCCTAAACTGATTATAGCGGCTGATTCTTTCTGAATTGAGAATATCGTCCTGGCCGATACAAGTATCGTCCAGGCCGATGTGTTTATGATGGCTGCCTTAATGAGGATGCCCTAATTCAGGTTTCTTATTTTGGACATATCGTCCAGGACGATATAAATATCGTCCCGGCCGATATTACCAAAAATAGAAATCTTTTAGGGAATAGCAGGAAATCTTCCAAGTTACAAATCAATAGGTCCCACAACAAATACAACAGACTCAAGAAAAAAAAAAGATTACAATCTGACTCAGGCCTAGTCTACCCAATCTTGAGCTAGTTCCAAATTGCAGTCCGATCGTGTGAACCTGAAATGTTAGTAGAAAGCAGTCATAGAGAAAAAGAATGTTTGCTATCATCAAAATCATAAGCCATAGATCCGCAACACACCTTCCTTCCAAATCCTGTCGCCAATAACAAGGGGGGCCCACTAGGGGCCAATTAAAGCAAGAGGGCGGCGGCTAGGGGGGCTAAACAGGGAAAAAAGAGGGCGGCTATCCTTGAGAGGGAAATTTGAATTAGAAATTGATTTGGGAGAATTATTGTATTAAATAGGAGTTGTGAGGGTTAGGACATGCTTGATTATTGTTTCTCTTGGAGTTCTCTTTGGTGTCTTGGGCTCTAGACTCATCATCTTGAGATTGAGAGAGAATGATCCCCCTCTCGAATTAAGGATCAATTGTATCTTTGCTTTGTGCTTGCTTTGATTTGATTCCTATAATACAATCTTCTGTTTTGGATTGTTTTCACCAAAGTTTTTTTTCGTTTTTCTCGTTGTTTTTACCAATTATTGTTAGGTTTGCTTGCGAAATCAAGTATTTCCTATCATCCTCTGATATAAATATATAACGGTGTATCCCTCTTTAGAAAAAAAAAACTTATGCCAACCAAAAGATGATAAAAAAAGTCTCAATAACTTTAAATATTTTTAGATATTAGCGACACATTTTCTTCCTAAGACAAAAATTAGGCTTCGTAACTTGAGAATTAGCCTTTGTTGATAATGTAGCAGCTTTGGATGTTGCCGTCGTTAATGAATAATTATAAAATGGTGATTTTCTTTCATCTTAATATCCTTAGGAAGATCATGGCTGGAAATGGGTGAAGCAGCAACCAGTCAGCAGGAGACCGGTATACACTGTAAATAATGATGAACAAACAAGAGTAAAAATAGCCATTAGGCATACGCAGAACAATTCAGTTAAGGAGAAGCTGTTAAAAGGTTTGCTTATACCTTAATACTATATGCGTCATGATACCAAAAAACAGCCTTTTTACTAATGTTCATCATCTTGATTTTAGAATTTAGCTGTCTGATTTGTCGGAAAGTACTGTGTTCGCCATTGACGACCCCTTGTGCTCATAACTTCTGCAAGTCATGCTTGCTGGGATCTTATGCTGATAAGTCCTTTGTAAGGGAGAGAACCAGTGCTGGTGGCCGCACTCTTAGAGCTCAGAAGATCATGAAAAAGTGCCCAGCTTGTCCTTATGACATATCAGACTTCTTACAGAATCCCCAGGTAAATTTTTTTGGCTCATCTAGTTAAAATTCGTTTGCTTTGCTTTCTCTTAGCTTTGATTGATTCTTGAGCGTTTTTCAAAGGTTAATAGGGAGCTTATGGATCTGATAGAGTCCTTGCAATCTAAGAATGAGGAGAATGTAGGAAAGGGCATTGGTGAAAATGATGGAATAGAAGATGATGAGAAGGCAAAAACTTATAATGATGTTAATGATTTAATGAAAGAAGAAATCTGTGGTGAAGAAAGTGATTCAATGGAGGAAAAAGCCGATGTTGAGATTATTAGAGAGGAAATAGTTATTCCTTAAACCAGGAAATATGTAGTGGTGCATAGACAGTTATTATTAAACCAGGAAATCATGGGGGATTTTATAATTTTTCATGTAATGGATTTGTTATTCTTATTTTGCTCAGATTTTCTAGTTCTTGTAATTAGATTTTTAGTTTTTTTTTTTTTTTATTTGAAGTTTCTCGGATCTTACCTTTGATTTCACTTTTGATTTTTTTTTTTTGGTATGATTCTTAAAATAGTCTGCTTCAATCTTGTTTGGAAAAAAAAAATAAAAAATTATTAAAGAATATTTTAGTATGATATAGATTGTCATTTTGGGGAATTTTTATTGCGTCCTCCCACCTGACGTAGAGATACGTCCTCCCATCACTAAAAAACTGGGTTTTTGCTCGGTATTGCTAGCTATTATTTGGTATTAAAGAAGAATATCATCATGTGAAGACCAATACCTAGTTATACCGAGCAATACCGAGCTATACCGAGCAATATAAAAAAATGCCTAGTTTTTCTTAGAAAAAACTCGGTACTGCTCGGTATAGCTCGGTATTGCTCGGTATAGCTCGGTATAGCTCGGTATTAGTCTTCACATGATGATATTTTTTGTTAATACCAAATAATAGTTAGCAATACCGAGAAAAAACCGAGTTTTTTAACGGTGGGAGGACGTATCTTTATGTCAAGTGGGAGGACGCAATAAAAATTCCATTGTGGGGGGCTTAAAAATTTTTGAAATTATTAAGAGCGGTATATATAAAACTTGTTCTAATAATATTTTATAATAAATCTTATCATTTTTTCGATCATTTTGATGTAAATTATGTAGGATTATTTACCAAAAAAAAAATTATGTAGGATTTAAGGTTTAGCGCTAAGAAATATTCCGATGAAAAAACTTTAAGCAAGGTTTTAATGGTCGTAATATTTTATGTGATTTGTTTTAAAATAAATGCATTATTAAAAATTTTAAGCTATTTTATTTAAAATGAAGAATATAATAATTTTTAATGACAATTAGAAAAGAAGATTTTTATTTTTTAGCTAAGAGCGGTAATATTAGCTGAAGTAATTCATCATAAGTGCCTGCTACTTTTATAATTTACTCCAATAAGGTAATATGGTAATATTACTTCTAGAATCATTACAATTTGCTAGGAACAGCTTTTTAAACCATTTAATTAAGATTTGCTAGGAACAGCTTTTTAAAACAAAAATTTCTAATAAAATTTAATAATTAAAAAAAATTATACTTAAATATTTAAAAAAAACAATAAAAAGAGTCAACGCACCCCAAGCCTAAGTTCAGAGTAATTATATTTTTATTCAAGAATGAGCTTTTAATAGGCAGCAGTGCAACAAATTATTAGGTGCAGTGACCGGACGGACTCAAAAAAATATTAACACCTTGAGTGGACATATTGGATTTATTTTTTTACTTTATATATTTAATATGCCCGCAAAATTTTAGCCAAGCACAACCAAAATGCAGGTAAAGCAAAATCAAAGCACAATAAAAAAGTGCAACAAAAGAGCAGTCAAAGCACAACTAAAAAAGTGCAGATAAAATGCAGTAAGAAAACGCAACAAAAGAGCAGATAAAGTGAAGGTAAAACCACAAAAAAAACGCAACCAAAGTGCACTCCACATAAAATTTTATCTCCGCACCTCATAATTTTCCCGAAACATCAACCAGTAACCGGCCTTAATTCAGTAAATTAAACACAAACATACTAAGTTATGAACATAATCAAGCACAAGCTAATTAGGTAGGTTAATGGGATTAGTTTAGTAAATATGCAAAAATATGAAGGTCAACATTTAAAATTGCCTCGTCTATACGACAACAAATTGCAATAATTACGTGGTAAAATAGCAAGCTCACAGCATCACAGAATCCACCAATTCTAACAGAAGATGCAAACTATCACTAAAAGATGACAAACAGTAGAGTAATAGTGGAGCAAGCCCAGCAGTTGAAGATGCAGTTAAGGCACAGTATGTCAGGCTTGAAAAAGTTTTTTAAAGCAGCAGAATAACAATGACAATTTAAAAGGTACACTACACTTCATGGTTCATTCATACTGTACCAATAATTCAGAAGTCGGATGCGATAGAACAGTTTACCTACCAATTTCAGGTCAGGTCATCCCCGTCATCAACGATAGGCCGGCGCCGTGCCGGCGAATGTGTATCGAGAAGAGACTGGCACATTGGCTATTTCGACCCGGTTATCGGCATAAGATCTGGAAGGATCGTTATAAACTGATGACAAATAGCTTGTGTTGGAGGGAGGAGCCAGTTCAGAAGTGCGGAGATACTGATCTGCGCGAGAATCCACCTCGCCCTCCCGTGCAGGTACAAGGCGATGATAATCTGCTGCACTGATTTGATCCCTGTAACTGAATTTCACAAATATGTTAACTTACAAATCAGATAAACAAAAACGTAAGGATTTGCTTCAAGTGAAGTGCATTAAGAATAAAGATCAAAGAATACTTTTATTAAAAGCGGATATTCAATAAGATTTACAATGAAGATTGTGAGAATATGATTTAGACATATAAAATGTTGACCTTCTGATGACCCGATTAAGATAATAAACATATTAGATTCGTCCTATGTTAAAAAAAAGTAGAGTTAAGACCTTAAAAGACAGAAAAATATTAGAAATAACCCTTTCTTAATTAAATTTAAATGAGAATTCAACTAATTAATATGACAAAATGAAGAAAAATGATTCATGTAACTGACCCCACGTAGTGGGATAAAGGCTTGATGTTGTTGTTGTAATGTCGTGAACTTAAACCATCCATGACATCATCACAAATATGATTCTAGATTTCTTTTGATGTTTAATGTAGTACCGAACTCATCAAACCTCAACCAATTTAATCTTACATTCAACTTAATCATTTCTTTGGATAAAACTTAATAAACATAGGAGATTGATTAATATCAGTTCATGAAAAACTTTTCTCGACCAATTTCTATGCCAAAAAAATGACAATTGACAATAGAATCAAATTGGTTCAGATTTGATGACTTGAAGGATTAAATTAAACAACCTAAACAAGCCTAAATTAAAATAAACACAAAATTTAGAGAACATTTTGGCCATTTGATATACAGATATAGATCAAAGATGGATCAACTTAATTATCCGATGAAAAAGATAACAGTTTTATAGTCAACCAGCTCAGTCACCCTTAGTAATCATCCAGACACAGCTAAGCAACAGTAAAAAAAAAAAATTTGCAACGAAGCTATGCAGGCTTAGTTTTCCAATATACTGTTTGATGTCATATCCAGACACTTACAATATATATGCACTATAATAAAGATGACATTAGTAAATAAACACGGTTTCTACATAGAAATATAACACTACAAAAAGGACTTGAACAGTACATACCGGTCTGAAGAAATTTGGGATTCATGATAGTTGCGCAGATCCAATGGCTGACGATAAGCATCAGTAACCAGTCCATGATGATAGGGATCGACAGATGGCGCATGCGGTAATTGAAGATGCCGAGCATCAACTAACACGTATTGGGGTTGTGGTGCATATGGGTCAGTTGGAACAGGAAGAGGGGCTGGAGCAATGTATCGAGAATCTATGGAAAGTGGGGCGCGGCCTAGAGCTCCAGCTCGATAAGGGTCCTCTGCAGTTGGATAAGAATCAGGTAAATGAGGCGCATAAGCTGGAGGTAGAGGGAGATATCGGGAATCAGAAGGGCCGCGCAATAAGGCTCCAGATTTGTAAGGGTCCTCCGCCGCAGATAAATGAGCAGGTATGTAAGGCTCCATTGTCGCAGGCAAACGAGACGGCGCAGAATGTCCAGACCTAAAAGAGTCCTCAGGAGGGGGGAGATAAGCAGAGGTTGGAGGATGTCGCTGCTCCTCGGCATGCTGGAAAGGAGCATGCTGGGGATGAGGACTAACTGGACGGAACAGTGCAAGTAATTTGTGAACCTGCGTTCAAGCTAAAATAGTTAGGAGCTAAAATAGCTAAAAGAGAGAAACAAACTTGATTAAATAAACATGAAATTATGATTAAATAAACATGAAATTATGATTAAATTTTAAGAACAATAGGACAAAGCAAAGAATCAAGTAATGTGGCACCTGTTTAGAATTAAGATCTGGTCTAAATTTGCCCTTGACTTCATAGTTGTCCTTTATAGCAAGTTTGAAAGCACTCTCAGGAAGAGGAAGGCAATCCTTTTCAATCTTAAATTTCACCTGCAATATAGCGATCAAGTCACAACCAATCAATTGAAGAGTATTTAAAAATAGAAGGAAATTAATATATATACATATATATAAACTAATCAATTGAAGAGTATTTAAAAATATACGGCAATTAATATATATACATATATATAAACTAGAATCAATAATATGAGAACGGGCTCTTGTAAAAGAATTATCTGACCAGCAAGGCCACAACCACATAACACTGATAATAGTACAGATTGATGGCAGGCAATGTTTGAAGTTTGAGGAAAATCTATTCTAATTTCCAGAAAAAAAGATCGCATCTTTATTCTTCTCAATAGCAACTACCAAGAAATACACAAAACATACCATGAAAAATTAATATATTTTTATTCCCTATAAAATAATGCCAAGTCAACCAAATGAATGAGATTTCAATCTGATAAACTTGTGTTTTCTTTATGAAAAAACTCGCAAGAGTCACTTGGCGTTCAAGAGCATGTCAAAGACTAAATTAGGGTACACCATGCAATGAAAGATTAATATATTTTTATTCACTATAAAATAATGCCAAGTCAACCAAATGAATGAGATTTCAATCTGATAAACTTGTGTTTTCTTTATGAAAAAACTCGTCACTTGGCGTTCAAGAGCATGTCAAAGGCTAAATTAGGGTACACCATGCAAGGGGCCAATAATTGAGTCTCTCAGGGGTTGCGTGCAGCGTGGGCGGGCTATCTAACTATTTGATTAGCACCAGAATCACTTCGTCCCTTAAATTGCTTGTTATGTTACGTGCAAAAAAAAGACCAAGCCATCAAAGATTTCGGGATTTCTACTCAATTACTTGATTAATTATAACTTATAAGTGCAAATTAGTTGACGCTATATTTTAATTTATATTGATAATAATAAAGAACTTCTACGAAATTACAAATTAAATATTCCATAATTGAATAGTTGATCACTTATGAATAGCTAATTATATATGCAGCACTGATAAAAATATAAACTAATAAACTTCACAATTATCTGATAATTTACATGTTGATTCAGATTAATTGTGCAAAATTAAATAACAATAATCTTTGATAACATCATTACCTGTTTAACTTATTAACTACTTAACCACACAATGGCTATATTTAAATTGAAATAGTTTATTACTACCTAAATTTTCAAACTTCCAAAAACAAAACATAGGCATTTTATTATTAGCCAAAAACCGAGAATTGCTCTTAATTATTACATAACACATCATTAAGTTTGAATGCCTAACATAATTCAGGATTAAATCAAACAACATAAAATGGCAATAAATTAGATAAAAAACTTAGCTGACAAATATGATTTGTTTGCAGGTTATCTAGACAATTTTTCTGGAATAATGTAAACTTTATTCTAAACACAAGGTGAAAAATAGTTACCACCGCCACTGCCACCACCTTTTTGTCTAGTCCATATCCTGCCCAAAGAATTCTTACTTCATGGTTTAATGTTTGGATGTTAAATTGTTACCTGATACTCTACATAAGTTGCTCTTTCCTATTATGTAAGAATATTAATGCCTTAATTTTTAATATATTAATAGGTTAAGATGTTATTATATTGCTTCTTACTTCATACTTTGATGTGTACAATACATCAAACTTCGCACAAGTTGTAATTATGAGGCTTATGACTCAGCTCACGCTGAAAAAATGCATCAATACTGAATTTCGCAATAATGATAAACTTGATGAAGTTTCAAAAGTTGGCCACATCATGTCTGGACCTCAAAAAAAATGTAATACAATTAAAGGTTGGATTGTTTGATTCCTACTAGAAAAAACATTAGGAAAAAGCTTGTTTAATTTTTATTTTGGCAGCACAAAACACATTGCTGTGTAAATATTTAAAAAATGCTTACAACAGAACAACAACTTCAAACCTTTATCCTACTACATAGGGTCGGCTAAAAAATGCTTATAACAGAATAATCAAAATTTTATGCTCAAACTTCTTTGCCAGAATAAGTTCGAATAAACAAGTTGAAACAAACAGCATTAATTTAGTGAGGTGATCAATAATCCTATATGAGTTGAGCCTAATTATCATGCTGGTTAAGTTTAGGAAAAGATAGAATAATTTCATCACAAATTCACAAGCGTACAACTAATTTGATGTGAGAACGTGCCTAATGTTTCTATCACTAGTTCAATTATATATTTGTCAATTTTCTCAGAATCACACCAATCCAATAGCAATTCCTTCATGAACGTTCTCTCAAATTATTAGAAAAGTCATACCTTGTTGAATAATGTAAACAAAAAGGTAATTTGCGTTGAAGTGAAATAAATATCAATAGTCAACGTTTGTTCTCCACTACAGCACATAAACTTACATGTAAAACTATAAAAAGTACACCTAGAGTGATTAAAAATGCATCTAAATAATATCAAGGTCAATCAAATCACAATATCAAGGCATTAGATGCAGACAAAACCAAACAACTCAGCCTCAACCAAGATACAACCAAAAATCAAGCATAATCAGGTCATCACCCCAAATGCATGGTTTAAACCTAAAACAAAAGATTATTGATGCGACAATAGGAGAAATGTGGGTATCATCATCTAGTGAACATGGTAGTTTGCGGTGTTTTCTTATTAAGGCACTAGTGCTAACGCTGACACTAGTCGCACAAACAGCTGCACAGTGACATGGAATGTCAAAGGCAATATTAATGACAGCGGAAAGGCCTCTGAACGAGTATGACAACAACTAACAATAGGGGAAAAGTTGACAAGCAAAAAAAGGGATAATATTTGATTCAACCAAGAGGAGATAGGAGCTGGCATTTTTGCAAGATCTAGAGGAAGACAAATGTCAAGGTTAAATTCAGAAAAGATAGGAATAGCATCGAAGAAGGTCAAACTTAATCAAAACTCAAGTAAACATATAGCAAATAAGTCCAACCAGTAAGCCAAGTCATAAAAAAAGTAGGTCAAGTTCTTCGATCTGATCATAGTTAAAAAAAAGTATAATGGATGTTATTTATTTATATTTAATATTATTTTGAAAAACTTGCCACCCAATATTCCAATTTATCACATCCTACAATATCCTAAGAAAATGCATATATTATATGAAACGACAGTATAATAATAAATATTCTTAATATATCTATATGATCAAACAATGAATTGGTTAAGACTCGAACTAAAGATAAAGAAAAAAAGAAGCCATAGGACCAAAGCTGGCTAAGTTCACAATTGTGAAAGATGGTGAACCCAAGTCAAAGCAAAACATAAAAATTATCTTTTGCTTGCATCCCAAAGACATCTTGTGCGATAACACCAATTGAGATTTGGAAATAAAAACAAATTACATGTTGTAAATAAGTAATAGCAGTAGAGATTGAAACTAAAAGCAATAAATTTAACCTCCCAAAGTTTGGTAAATGAGGAAAAAGATATAGACCATTAATAAATATTAAAAAGAAATGCATGCCTACAAACACAAGCTTAAGAGCCAAGAGGGAACGGTAAACCTATGATGCACCGACACACATCTTAAAGAGGGTATGCATTGCCGGACACGGACACGGCATGGACACGTGTCCGACACGAAATTGGAGTGTCGCAATTTAAAAAATTAAAATTAAAATCGGACACATTAAATGATAAAATTGTTCATTCTATTTAGCTTTTTCCGCGAACTAGAAGCCCTATTTTTCTATTCCACGAAAGAAATTTTCTAGGGCGGACCGGAAGAGCTCGCAGACAACGCCAAACGGAGCCCGCTGCCTTTGCCTCTCGTTCCTTCGTCATCTCAACTCGAGCCGTGGCCAAGAAGAGCTCATCTTTCCCATTCCTTCATTCTTGCGTGATTTCTGCGGTCATCTGAGACAAAGTTCGCAATCAAGGCCAAACAGAGCACCTTCTGCGCGCAAGAGAGCCAAGACCTATAAGTAGATTTCGTCATTTCTTCTCTTCATTGTTGAAAAACCTAATGTACATGCTCGATACCGCTCAGTACATGCTCGGTACCGCTCGGTACATGCTCGGTACCGCTCGGTACTGCTATGTACATGCTCGGTATCGCTCAGTACATGCTCGGTACTTCTCAGTACATGCTCATTTATTCAATCAATGAAGAGGAATAAAATAACTCCTCAATGTGCTGAAGATTTAGTTTATGTGCATACAAATCTTCGTCTTCTATCAAGAAAAACCCCACTTTATATGACAGGTGATAACAAGATGTGGGATGTTGCTGGAGATGGGTTCGAGTGCCATGTCCGTGTCGCCGTATCTGTGTCGGTGCATCATAGCGGTAAACTAATCCACAATGGTACTTTGTGATTAAATAAAAGGCTCGGGTAATTACAGACGGTTTCTTTAAAGGCAAAGCCAACCCTTCAACTAAACTTTGAAGGATTATTTCCCAATATTACACTACATTTCTACAATAAGCACTAAACCCTAAACCCTCAAGTAAATGGGTTTTTTTCTTTCTTTAAGAACAAGGCGCAAACACAAAGGTATGCTTCGATTAAATGAAGCACATACATAAAACACCTTACATAATATTATATTATTTTATTTGGCAAACATCATTAAAATCAAAATTACGAAGTAATATAAGGTATTTGACGAAATTTATAATAAAAAAATTTTACAACAAAGAAACTGAGGAGTGGAGCACGTTAAACATTATGCACATCGATGCAAACTGAACGCTTTGTAGTTTTTGGCTATATTATATAGAATGATAAAAAAAACTCCAAACCAATAAATACAACTCAAATCAAACTAACAGTGTTGAGAATAAAATTGAATTGACTACTCCTATGAAAATGTGAACCTATCATAATTATTTGATTTGGTTTAATTTGCAATTGCAAAGCCGATTTAAAATACCAAAACCATAATTATTCTTGTAGCCTTTATGCATATTACATAACCAGCATCCAATTCAAGGATTGGTATAAGTAATTGGCTTTGAACATTTAGGATCAATAAATCATCATTTCAAGGATT